ATCTAATTTTTAAAAGGGTGGAGGGGTAAGCCAGTGGAAGGCCTCGGTCAGATGACGAAAAGTTCCAGTGGCGGGCCATCATGTGACTAAGACCCGCGTCAGGAGGCATTGTCCAGATTCCTGACATAATGTATCTAACCTTACCTTAATCCCTACTGTCCAATTGGTCTACGTGTGTCAGCTAATTAGGTAAAAAACAAAACCTCGGGGAACCGAATTTAAGTGGGCTACATAGGGCCATGTTGAGTAGCTGCTAGGGCCATTGGACAGGAAAGCATTTTGTACTTTAAGGCAGCGGTGCCCAAACTCCAGGTCACCGCCCAAACCAGAGCCACGGAGGGTGTTGGCGAGGGTCCAGGGTAGGTCTCGGGAGAATTTTTTTTTTTTTGTCCGCTATGTGTAAGCTAATTCTAAGTGAATGAGGACGAGTGAGCGAGTGAACGATTGTCTGAGTGGTGAGTGAGTGAGCGAGGAGGGAGGGATGAGTGATGTACAGTGTGTTTCATGGTGAGTGAATTTGAGAGGGGGTGATAAACACAAATGCCGTATAATGCGATCCTTTATTGACTACGTTTCGACTTTATCAAGTCACAGACGAATATGTTTTTGACTTGGGCGAAACGTAGTCAATAAAGGATCACATTATGCTACATTTGTGTCTGTTTTCCTAAGGAGGAGTGACGTTGAGTAAATTATTAACCAATTTTGCGTGTTGTCTTTGTTTCAGTGTTTATTAATAGTTTCTTATTTATTCTTCTCTGCATTTATATTATTTTTAGGTTCATCAACTTCTGATGCATTTGGTAAAACATCTAATTTCAAACTTTTCTTTCTAAATATGAACTGTAGTGGAGAAATGTTCCAGCAAAAACACACTCTTAGCCTGAGGTTTTTTTTTCATATGGTTTCACTGATCCGAGAGAAATGAACTGGAAATGTCCAATATCATTATTTTCACTGCTTGAAACTCTTCACCGACGAATCCGTGAAGACAAACTGAAACATCACTTCACTTAGGGTTATCAGAATTTTGTCGAGAGCTACAGATTTGTTGAAAGGTAAGAGATCACTGAGAGCGTAGTTGGTTCCATAATATTGCATGTTACCTTTTTTTCTGTGTAGACAACTTGTTTGGCGTCCATTGAAGTGTTGTGGATGATGATAAATTAGACACATGTGCAACTCTTGGGTCTCTTTATTGAGGAAACGTTTCGCCACACAGTGGCTTCATCAGTCCATACGTAGGAGAAACTTGAAGAACAGGAGGAGAATGAGGTAATCAGTCCCTCAACCTTGAGTCGATGTGTTCAGTCCATCAATCTTGAATAGAATACGGCATATCAGCGGAGAAGCAGCTTATAAACCGTATGGCAGGAGAGGTGCAGCAGTCATAGGTCGTGTCACATTTGTTCAATGTGGAAGTAGGTCGTGCCCAAGAATTAGGCAAGCGAAGATGCAAGATGTAATGGGAGATGCAAGAAGCTTCACAACATGGGAAGGAACTGGTGAAGTCAACAACGGTGGCAATGATATTAATAATAATAACAATAATAATAATTATATCTTTATTTCTACAAGTACATGTACAAGGTATTCAGGTCTAGCTGACATCAATGACATACTACTATATAGAAAGCCACTTGTTATGCAGAGCATTTCGGGCAAATTAGGCCATTTTCTTTCCGGGATGTGACCCACACCAGTCGACTAACACCCAGGTACCCATTTTACTGATGGCTGAACATGGACAACCTGTGTAAGGAAGCACGCCCAATGCTTACACCCTTGTCAGGAATCGAACCAGGTCCCTCAGCGTGTGAAGCGAGAGCTTCGCTACCAGGCCACGGGCCACGGTGGCCTGGTGGCAAACAAAAATTGTTTGTGCTGTCAGTATCACTTTACCATTAGCACCAAACTTCGAGGTGACCTAAGTCAGCTGATATTTTGGCTCACCTTATTGTGACGCTGAAAAACAGAAAACTTGTCATTGTCCACACGAATCTGTGGACACTGCAGGTAACCCAAACTTATGTCTTTTCGTGATATACAAAGAAGACAACATCATGGAGGAATTTCTCTTCAGTGTCCTGTCAATTACCACGACTGGAGAAGACAACTTCATGGTGAACAAAGTCATTTAGGTATGGTTCTGTTTAACTGATGTTTAAGAATGTTATGTAGAGTAGATTTTTTAGGGTGTTGATTATGCAGATTTTTAGTTATGTTGATTGTACACAAATGTTTAGGGATGTTGAGTATGCTGTGAGCTCTGACGGAACTAACTGTAAAGGAAAGTTATATAAGATTTGTTACTCATTTTAACGCAAAAAAAATCCCGACGTCATAATCACTGTTTATTGCAACCGGAACTCAGCGTGGTTTTCAGTGATGCAATTCAAATTGCAACTTTCCTAAAGGTCAGGGCTTACAACTCGCGCATTATCATAACATCATCCGTACTTGTTGTTCCATGCTGATACTCGTTGTCTCTCTCAAGGAACATTTCTCTGGCGTTATTCCATGCTGATACTCGTTGTCTCTCTCAAGGAACATTTCTCTGACGTTGTTCCATGCTGATACTCGTTGTCTCTCTCAAGGAACATTTCTCTGACGTTGTTCCATGCTGATACTCGTTGTCTCTCTCAAGGAACATTTCTCTGGCGTTGTTCCATGCTGATACTCGTTGTCTCTCTCAAGGAACATTTCTCTGACGTTGTTCCATGCTGATACTCGTTGTCTCTCTCAAGGAACATTTCTCTGACGTTGTTCCATGCTGATACTCGTTGTCTCTCTCAAGGAACATTTCTCTGGCGTTATTCCATGCTGATACTCGTTGTCTCTCTCAAGGAACATTTCTCTGACGTTGTTCCATGCTGATACTCATTGTCTCTCTCAAGGAACATTTCTCTGACGTTGTTCCATGCTGATACTCGTTGTCTCTCTCAAGGAACATTTCTCTGACGTTGTTCCATGCTGATACTCGTTGTCTCTCTCAAGGAACATTTCTCTGACGTTGTTCCATGCTGATACTCGTTGTCTCTCTCAAGGAACATTTCTCTGACGTTGTTCCATGCTGATACTCGTTGTCTCTCTCAAGGAACATTTTTCTGAGGTTGTTCCATGTTGATACTCGTTGTCTCTCTCAAGGAACATTTCTCTGACGTTGTTCCATGCTAATACTCGTTGTCTCTCTCAAGGAACATTTCTCTGACGTTGTTCCATGCTGATACTCATTGTCTCTCTCAAGGAACATTTCTCTGACGTTGTTCCATGCTGATACTCGTTGTCTCTCTCAAGGAACATTTCTCTGACGTTGTTCCATGCTGATACTCATTGTCTCTCTCAAGGAACATTTCTCTGACGTTGTTCCATGCTGATACTCGTTGTCTCACTGAAGGAACATTTCTCTGACGTTGTTCCATGCTGATATTCGTTGTCTCTCTCAAGGAACATTTCTCCGAGGTTGTTCCAATGTTGATACTCGTTGTCTGTCTCAAGGAGCATTTCTCTGAGGTTCCATGCTGATACTCGTTGTCTCTCTGAAGGAACATTTCTCTGACGTTGTTCCATGCTGATACTCGTTGTCTATCTCAAGGAACATTTCTCTGACGTTGTTCCATGCTGATACTCGTTGTCTCTCTCAAGGAACATTTCTCTGGCGTTATTCCATGCTGATACTCGTTGTCTCTCTCAAGGAACATTTCTCTGGCGTTGTTCCATGCTGATACTCGTTGTCTCTCTCAAGGAACATTTCTCTGACGTTGTTCCATGCTGATACTCGTTGTCTCTCTCAAGGAACATTTCTCTGGCGTTGTTCCATGCTGATACTCGTTGTCTCTCTCAAGGAACATTTCTCTGACGTTGTTCCATGCTGATACTCGTTGTCTCTCTCAAGGAACATTTCTCTGACGTTGTTCCATGCTGATACTCGTTGTCTCTCTCAAGGAACATTTCTCTGACGTTGTTCCATGCTGATACTCGTTGTCTCTCTCAAGGAACATTTCTCTGGCGTTGTTCCATGCTGATACTCGTTGTCTCTCTCAAGGAACATTTCTCTGACGTTGTTCCATGCTGATACTCGTTGTCTCTCTCAAGGAACATTTCTCTGACGTTGTTCCATGCTGATACTCGTTGTCTCTCTCAAGGAACATCTCTCTGACGTTGTTCCATGCTGATACTCGTTGTCTCTCTCAAGGAACATCTCTCTGGCGTGTCATAGATCTTCCCTTTTTTATTATAACAATAATCTGCCGTGTTATTGAGATAAAAATTAAAATTGGAAGTTTTGGAAGGCGCTGCATCACGCGTTGGTCAACTAAAGAGAAGTTGTTTGGCTGGCAGAGCTGACGTGAACGATATTGACAGAGACACAATGAATTGGATTTAGAAATGCGGAGTCGAAATCAGTCTGTTGTGGACATCGACGAAAAGAAATCATTCAAGAATAAACTTGTACTGTGGAGAGGAAGAATGACTAAAGAAAAAAGTGCCTACCCAAACCTGAGTGTTGTGCTGGATGATTCGTCAGATGAATGTGTGTTATACATCACTGACAAGATGAAGAATTAGTCACATGTACAACATCTGGCTATCTTTATTGTAGATGTTTCGTCACTGGATGGCGAAACGTCTACAATAAAGATACCCAGATGTTGTACATGTGTCTAATTTTTCATCATTTATCAGACACAGGACACATTGACGTTAAGGCTTTGAATAAATGGTTTAAAAACCCGACAAGTTGATAAATGAGATACTTGTGTAACATTTAAGTATCTTTATCAAGAATAAATATACCCAGATATTTCAGAAGTTTTTCATTAATTGACATTTAAGCTGTTTACCGAGGTCATTTGAAGACGCTTCAGGAAGAAATCCGCTTCTTTGGGTCGAACCTGAATGTCTTCCTTTGTCCCAGATGCTGTATGACCCCTTAAGGTTTGGTGCTTTCCGATGAATGTAATAATGATTCAGGAAAAAAAAGGCAAGTATTTACGAAAATGGCCGACCTCCAGCGGCATAGAAGGATCAGGAATACCTTCAGTGTGCACGTCAGCGAGGTTCCAAAAGGCATCTCAGGTTTTCAAGAACTTCTAAGTCCTCCAGCTGCAGAAGCAACAATTTTAAAGCCTTCCGTATTCGAAATTTTAGGCTCAGCTGAAGAATAAGCCTATGCTGGCTTGGGAAGTTAAGATTCTTTTTTTCTCTCTTCCCACAATATATTTCTCAGAACAATGGTGATCAGGTTTTATGACGATCAGAATTAAAGCAATGATCGTCATACCTGAAGTATTCCTGGAAGGTGTTCCGGGGGTCAACGCCCCCGCGACCAGGTCCACGACCAGGTGTTCTGATCACTAACATAAATCCACAACTCAGAGAGTTCACCCACAAAATAAAACAGCATTATTTTAACCACTGATTTTTTCTTTGTCGTTTAACAATTTTCGTAATACAGTCACATGTTCGTGAAAACTTATAATGAAATTTTCACTTTGTCATTTGTATATATTTTTCTTTATTTGATCAACATTAATTGTAAAATACTTCTGACCAAGACGAAGCAGCGTCATGGTAGCCGCTGAAAAAAATAATTAACTTGTATTTTGTCATAAAGCTACGTTTTCAGTTTTATATTTTGACCAATCAAAAAGTTTTTGAATTTCTGTTTAATTTAGATATTTAAATGATTTGAATGAAGTTAAATAAATGGTAAATAAATAGAAAGGCATTGTGAATTTAGTGTTGTGAATTTTAGGGTCGTGATAAAATGAAGATTGAGGAAGGTTACCAGTCGCTTTGACTACTGTTACGATCATTGGCTTGATTTAACACATTATTTCTTTAGGCTTAAGGGAAAGTCGTTGTGTAGCTGTTGGGACTTCTAAAAAGTTCAGTAGCTAGGATACAAGTAGTCTTATTTCATAAGTTATGTAAGGTTGTTAACTGTTTCCTCTCTGAGGGTAATAGTAAATCTTCTGTCTATCCGCATTATTTATTTTTGTGAGGCACTAAACCCGTACGGATCATCGACGACAAGGCTCGATTCTCAGTCCCTTCACAGCGAAACAGACACGCCACATGTTGAAGAGCAAGACACATGTGCAACACTTGGATATCTTTATTGTTGATACGTTTCGCTTACACAGTAGGTTTCTTCAGTCAAATACAGTGGTAGTAGGTATTGTAGTGAAATGAAGATACAATCAGTCCATCAACCTTGGAGAAATAGTATTTAAGGTGGTCAGTCCCTCAGCCTGGTGAAGAGTTTAGCTGCATGTACCCATCCAGTTTGTATTTAAAGGTACCCAAACTTCTTGCCTGAATGACACTACCTGCGAGTTTGTTTCACTCATCTACAACTTTATTGCCAAACTAGTATTTCCCCATAACCTTTCTGAATTTAAATTTCTCCGTCTTGATTCCATTACTGCGAATCCTCTCTTGGTTAGATATTTTCAACACGCTGTTAATATCATCTTTATTTAGTCCTATTTCTGTTTGAGCGCTTTTATCATATTTCCTCTAATTCTACGTTTTTCTAGATTGTAAATTCAGTATCTTCAGCCTATCTTAGTGGGAAAGACTTCTAGTAAATGGAATCAATTTCGTCATCCTTCTCTGTATATTTTCCAACGTATTTATGTACATCCTGTAACAGCAAGAAGTATAAATAATAGAGGTCCTAAGGTTATACTTGAACTTTTTATATCTAAATGATGTTTAACCAGAGATATACATATATAGTTCAAGTGTAACCTGAGGACTTGTATTATTCATGTTTTGATACGAAGCCCAGAATTCTATTAGCTTTATTGTGGACACTACACATTTTTTGCCACTAACAGCAAACGAACCTAAATTGCATTAAAGTGGACCTGTACTTTTCCAGATCTTATTCCTGTATACCTGAAAAAAATGGGTTTGTCTGTAATGTCGTATTCTCTTTTGTCTTTCCTTTTTTTTTATTAACACATCGGCCGATTCCCACCAAGGCAGGGTGGCCCGAAAAAGAAAAACTTTCACCATCATTCACTCCATCACTGTCTTGCCAGAAGGGTGCTTTACACTACAGTTTTTAAACTGCAACATAAACACCCCTCCTTCAGAGTGCAGGCACTGTACTTCCCATCTCCAGGACTCAAGTCCGGCCTGCCGGTTTCCCTGAATCCCTTCATAAATGTTACTTTGCTCACACTCCAACAGCACGTCAAGTATTAAAGACCATTTGTCTCCGTTCACTCCTATCAAACACGCTCACGCATGCCTGCTGGAAGTCCAAGCCCCTCGCACACAAAACCTCCTTTACCCCCTCCCTCCAACCTTTCCTAGGCCGACCCCTACCCCGCCTTCCTTCCACTACAGACTGATACACTCTTGAAGTCACTCTGTTTCGCTCCATTCTCTCTACATGTCCGAACCACCTCAACAACCCTTCCTCAGCCCTCTGGACAACAGTTTTGGTAATCCTGCACCTCCTCCTAACTTCCAAACTACGAATTTTCTGCATTATATTCACACCACACATTGCCCTCAGACATGACATCTCCACTGCCTCCAGCCTTCTCCTCGCTGCAACATTCATCACCCATGCTTCACACCCATGTAAGAGCGTTGGTAAAACTATACTCTTATTCATTCCCCTCTTTGCCTCCAAGGACAAAGTTCTTTGTCTCCACAGACTCCTAAGTGCACCGCTCACCCTTTTCCTCTCATCAATTCTGTGATTCACCTCATCTTTCATAGATCCATCCGCTGATACGTCCACTCCCAAATATCTGAATACATTCACCTCCTCCATACTCTCTCCCTCCAATCTGATATCCAATCTTTCATCACCTAATCTTTTTATCCTCATAACGTTACTCTTTCCTGTATTCACTTTTAATTTTCCTCTTTTACATACCCTACCAAATTCATGCACCAACCTCTGCAACTTCTCTTCAGAATCTCCCAACTGCAGTGTCATCAGCAAAGAGCAACTGTGACAGCTCCCACTTTATGTGTGATTCTTTATCTTTTAACTCCACGCATCTTTCCAAGACCCTCGCATTTACTTCTCGTACAACCCCATCTATAAATATTTTAAACAACCACGGTGACATCACACATCCTTGTCTAAGGCCTACTTTTACTGGGAAATAATTTCCCTCTTTCCTACATACTCTAACTTGGGCCTCATTGTCCTCGTAAAAACTCTTCACTGCTTTCAGTAACCTACATCCTACACCATACACCTGCAACATCTGCCACATTGCCCCCCTATCCACCCTGTCATATGCCTTTTCCAAATCCATAAATGCCACAAAAACCTCTTTAGCCTTATCTAAATACTGTTCACTTATATGTTTCACTGTAAACACCTGGTCCACACACCCCCTAACTTTCCTAAAGCCTCCTTGTTCATCTGCTATCCTATTCTCCGTCTTACTCTTACTCTTAATGTCTTTCCTTATTCCTTTTTATTGGCGTCTCCCTTAATTAAACCTGTTCGATAATATGATCCCCTGAATGTTTTTGATTAGCTCGTAAAGGCAGTAAATAGGTAACTGGGTGTTAGTGGATTGTTGTGGGTGGCATCCTGGGGGGGTTATACCTCAGACAGTTGAGCTTTGAAATAACCTGAGGTAAGATGACTACTTTTATATAATAAATATAGTGTAAAAAAGACACTTTGAAGATTACTTTCAGTTCACATGGCGGATGTTAAACTACCTGCGAAGCTTCGTCTTTAACCATTAATATTGTTTTGTTTGCTGGTTTAGGTCAGGGGTCCTTAAACGGGGGTATTCATACCCCTTGGGGTATGGGAATCAAGTAATGGGGGTATGGGATTCGATCTCTGAACAATTTAAAAAAGTTGTTAGAATACACTATCACTGTTATCGATACGGACTGAGGCGGCGAGGCCATTAAAAAAACTATTGACATCTTTTGAAGTCATATGGCGATGATTTACAAAGTCTGGTGAAGGAAGTATGGCCATATATTGGGCAATCCGTTGATTGCAGAGGTTATCATGGGCCACCTAACCGCTGTAACTTAGGTAATCTTTCCTTCAAGGCTAGGAAACTGAAAAGCTCTTGATCCACGGAGCTACAACTACCCTCCCCTTCCACATATCAAACTGATTACTTCCTATTACCCAGGTTTTGCATGACCCCTATGTGTTTGGCATTTTCCCACGAGTATAATAATATGGAAGGTTGGAGCGTGTGGCTAGGCTGCGTCACAAGGTCAGGCAGTAATACACTTGATGTCACGCAAGAGTGTGTTACTGCATGACCTCTCTCCCCTCAGGGAAGGTTCCTTGATGCTGGTGAGGGGCTCTTGATGTAGGGAATTGGATCTGTGCTCCACTTCCCCGAATTAAGCCTGAATATTCAACCTTCCACATCTGCCCCCACAGGCGTGTATAATCTTACGGGTTTAGCGCTTCCCCCTTGATTATCATAATGCATGACCTCTCAATGTCCATAAATCAAATAAGTGACATCTCCAATCATTATTTCGTTAGATATCAAATTCTCAACATTATTTAGGCATAGAGGATTACAAGCCAACTTAAGCTGACTAATAATTTAATGAGGAAAAAGACGTAGTGGCAAATAATGTTGAATTAGGCTGTGTACTGAGGCAGTAAATTAGGCTAACTGAATCTAAGCTTTTATTCATAAATATTTACCAGTCCTGTTTGATGCACTTAGCGTTACTTTTGTGAATATAATAATGAATAATCCTTGAAGAGTCATTCTTGTTTAATAATTTGTTGATTAGGAAGTTCAGTAATAATGGTAGAATTACGGACAAAATGTTAGGTGGACACAGATGCAACCAATGTGATCTTTTATTGGGACAACGTTGTTAAAGCTTCTGGAGAGCGAAACGTTGCCACACTAAAATGTTACATTAATTACATCTGTGTCTATTTACCTAACATTAAGTTTACTGATACAGTTAAGGGTGTTCAGCGCCAAGCATGATGTCATCCACACTGTACATCGTTGCAGCTGTTTCCAAGATCACGACGAATTTGATCATTCAAGGTCAAGAGACGAGCTCACATGCATTGTAAAATGTTCATAATGAACATTAAGATTTGAACATAGTCCAGGGTGATGCAACTACAGGGCCGAGGGCCATATGTAGTTTGTGTCGATATTTTGTGGCATATCATTAAAAAGTCAGTGCTGTAAGTGAGATAATTTGGAATGGCTACAATACACAGACAAATTCTAGAATTCTAATCTGAAAAAAAAATCAGAATGAATATTTGATCAGTAAATACGAAAGTCCCCACCCTTTCCAAATCACAGAACAGGTGGAGTTCGAACCCATGACGAGCGAGTTCTAAAACTCGCAGTCCAGTGTGTTATCTACTTATTCATACCGAAAAAGATTCATCCAACTGGGTATATCTGTACACCATAGGGAGGTTAGCATGGGCCGCCTCTGTGACCACAAATGCAGTTTTTTTTATTTTACAGATGAATCCCACATCAGTGTGGCTGTGTCGTGCTCTAGCTCAAGTCCGCTGAAAGCCGCTATCAAGACACGAAATCGTAATAACACGACTGCAAGCAAATCACAGAAGGAGTTTCCTGACTCGCGTCAGGAAACACTTGTCCTGTTTCCCGACAAATCTTACCTAACCTAACCTAGAAATGCGTGGGGCCGCATATAAGGAACTAGCTGTTTCTTGGGTCGATTAGGTGACGTTCATGAATAATCAGTTGAAACGATTTCAACCAGCTTCTGGAGCTCAACTTGAAGGAGGTTTCTTAATCCATTTGATCTAAGGAGTTCAACCTGTCCTCTCTTTCTTGGCTCAAACCTAATTGCATCACATTCTCCAAGGCGTTGTGATCCATATAATGCTAACGGAGATTTCAGTAATTGTCTCTGGAGGCAATGTTCCACTTGGCTTAACTATATAATCTGTGCTCCTGGAGGAGTGCACAGCGTGATAGATGCCAAGAAGTATCCACTTACTCTTTGAATATTCGGTGCTCGGTGGAGACGTTTCTCTTCTATGATAGAGCTTGTGTGAGCGAAATGTCGTCTCCTTATTTCCATAGCTAATTGCAGACGTATCGCTACATTTTTTTTATTTGTTAATTCATGTTTATGTATACGTTTGTATAAGTGTATGTGACCTAACCTAAAACAAAGACAGCAGCATTTGTAAGTTTACTTAAAATGTCTAGAGGGCGACGTTGAAAACCATGCTAGAAACTAGCGCAGTGGAAGGAGAGTTGAATCCCACAGCCTCAGTGCAAGATTTATTTTATCTGAAGAAATTATTGCAAGTTCCTAAAAGTAGGTTACCCCACTTGCTGTTTAACTTTTGGGCGTTTGTTATTGTTTTTTTTTTTTTTTTTTTGCATTCATTCCACTTTTGTAAGTCACATTAAATATCTTATAGGGAACACCATCCTGTGTGATGGAATATTACAGTGAAACACCATCCTGTGTGATGGAATATGACAGTGAAACACCATCCTGTGTGATGGAATATGACAGTGAAACACCATCCTGTGTGATGGAATATGACAGTGAAACACCATCCTGTGTGATGGAATATGACAGTGAAACACCATCCTGTGTGGTGGAATATGACAGTGAAACACCATCCTGTGTGATGGAATATGACAGTGAAACACCATCCTGTGTGATGGAATATGACAGTGAAACACCATCCTGTGTGATGGATATGACAGTGAAACACCATCCTGTGTGTGTGGAATAGGCAGTGAAACACCATCCTGTGTGATGGAATATGGCAGTGCAACACCATCCTGTGTGATGGAATATGACAGTGAAACACCATCCTGTGTGATGGAATATGACAGTGAAACACCATCCTGTGTGATGGAATATGACAGTGAAACACCGTCCTGTGTGATGGAATATGACAGTGAAACACCATCCTGTGTGATGGAATATGACAGTGAAACACCATCCTGTGTGATGGAATATGACAGTGAAACACCGTCCTGTGTGATGGAATATGACAAACGAAAGAAAGCTAGCTTACGCTCCCACTGTTTAACTGTCATGTAGAACAGGGCAGTAGCACACTTCTTTTTAATTCAGTTTTGTTGACGAAGAGTGAAACACAGTGTTGCCGCAACCCCCTCCCCCCGACCGCCATAATGCCGGCACTAGATTTCCCTCGAGTGCTGCTCCTGCACGGATGCGCAACAGACAAGCGAGTGCCGCCCCACTAATTATAGAGGCCGCTCACATTTTCAGTGAGGGGCAACACTGGTTAAGTCATTGACTTGTTAATGTGGTGTTTTGTTTGTCAGGCCACAACACACACTTTCATGACACGGGTTTTAATCAGAGGATGACCTGTTAATTGGTTAAACGTCTACCCACCAAGGGTTTGCATCTCATTTACAAAATACAGAATCACAACAAAATAGTGTATCTTAAAATAATGCCATTGTGGATATCCTAAACGTGCGTGTTGGTTGATAGTTTAATTTTTATTTGCTGAATATTCATTCTCTTACTTATGGACTCTGGCAACCGTTAAAACTACACTGATGCTATATTGAATGTTATTTGTTACCAGTAGCACACTTTAGTTCTATATTTGTTCACATAGCATACGTTATATGGTCGGGAGAAAATAGAGGTAACATTGGTTTGATCCACTGAATAGGTCATCTTATGACAGACTGTATCAAAGTTTACCCGTTACCAATAAACTAACAATCAACACTCGTGACTGTGACAGGTGGATGCAGGAGACAGGGTGTCGCCAAGCCTGGCAGACATGTACCTACAAGCAAGACGGGAGAAATGCGTCCATTATGTGTTCCTTGTCAGCGACCCCGTCTCCCTCCTAAGTCTGTTGGACGTCCTCTACTACAACACCCTCGACCTCCTCGCCAAGTTTGTCCTCGTTACACACCTCCAGAGCCCAGCAGTGTTCTTAGTTTCTTACAGGTTTGTAGAGCCAAGTCTACCCTTTCTCTGCCTTTTCTTTTGGTTCACGAAATCGTAACACGATTGCAAACAAATCTGGCCTGGAGTTTTAGGACTGACACTCGCCATGGGTTCAAAACCCATCCGTTTCGAGGTATGTTTTTCTTTTTGGTTTCTCGTAGCTTAGCGTAGAGAGCGTTCGGCTCGCAACAGATAAGACTTGACTTCGACTCACGGCCTGAGCAAGACGTGTGAGCGCGTCTCCTTGATTCCCAACTCTGTATGACTTGCGGTTTACACTTGCCGTGAAAATATTTATTTGTTAATACATCGGTCGTTTCACACCAAGGTAGAGTAACTCCGAGAAAAGAAGAAACACTTTCATCATCACTCACGCCATCACCGTCTTGCCAGTGGCGCCTTTTTTCAAGTAAATATTTCCTGTTGAATATAATATTTTTTATTAGTCGTATTTTAATAAAAATATTACAGCTGATGCTGTAATATTTATATCGTTTCTGTGTTTATTTTTACTAGTATTATAATTTTTGTTGTTTTTTTCTACAGATATTCATGTACAGGTATTGTCTATAATAAAGACATGTTTAACGTTAGCAAACTTATTATGTTACGTTACGAACACTAGCAACTTTATCAGTCCCAGTCAACGTCAAAAGCTGAGTACCAATGTACTCACTTAATTCACCTAATTGTGGTTGCAGGGGTCGATTCATAACATTGTATTCACATAATTTTGTACTTTTTGCATTAGCAAGAACTCATTTAAAATTAAGTCCTTTCTAAAATTTTCTCTTATACGTTTCAAGATATATTTTTTTCATTAATGTTAATGTAAAAAATTATAATTTTGTACCAAAAGAATCTAAGAAAACTTAACTAACCTTATTATAACAAGCGCAATTTATTTTAGCCTAATTCAACTAACTAAATTTAAAGAGAAACTTAAGTTTTTCTTTTTGGGCCACCCTGCCTCGGTGGGATACGTCCGGTTTGTTGAAAGAAGAATAATATATAAATAGATTCGCTTATAATATTCAAGAAGCTTAGTGTTTTCCATCATTGAAGCCGGTACTTTTAAAGTCATAAAATGTTACGGCCTGGTACCACTATGAGGAATGTTGTATTCTCGCCCTTATCGCAGCATCAAGTTAAAAGATTTCGTAGTAGGCTTGGTTATAAGGGAATTACTCGGAAGGTAACCAGGACTCGCGTTTAACATCTTATTCCACATCTACATCAATTTTCAGTAACTGAATAAGGGAAAGGGCGTGTGGCCTTAACCCATGACAAGTGAGTCCTCAAACCTCACAGGCCGGTGCGTTAACCACTCGGATTTGATTGGTTTTCAGTTGTCTTATTTCGACTGCGTGAATCATCATATTTTTCAGTAATATTCCTTTCTATAAAATTATTAGCAGACATGATAAATTTGCTGATAGCCAGACATAAAAAATCGCATAAATACTAGAAGTAAAACATAGTTTTTATACAGTATTTGTAGTGAACATGATAATGATATACAATACAGACAAGTTGATAAGACATATATAAATAAGTAAATAAATAATCTTTATTTACTACAAGTGCATGTACAAGGTATACAGGCCTAGCTGACAACAGTGACGTACTACTGTATAGAAAGTCCCTTGTTATGCTGAGCATTTCGGGCAAATTAGGTCAGTTTTGTCACAGGATGCGACCCACACCAGTCGATTAACACCCAGGTACCTATTTTACTGATGGGTGAACATGGACAGCAGGCGTCTTAAGGAAACATGTCCCGTTTCCACCCGTACTAGGAATGGACCCTGGGACCGCAGTGTGTGGGCTGAGTGGGCTAGTAATCAAGCAACGCCTTTTCATCTCTACTGCTTCTGCTGCCCCCGCTGTACTCGACTGAAGAACTTACTGTGCAAGCGAAACGTTTCAGAATAGATACCTAACTGTTGCACGTGTTTCTTACAAATATTTGAACTGCCACCAACGTTTGATTCGTTAGACCCAAATAATACGAGCCACAGCCTAGCCAGGAAATTCTGTGGCTGTTCCGTGAAGGGTAACTTGGAGCTACTTAGCAGTGAAGATTTAACAGCGTACACATTTGTAAATATCAAATTAATTTTAAGTGTTTTACCATCTTGAGATATAATAGCCAGGGCCTGTGAGGAAGACGGAATTAATCGGTTTAATAACGATTGGATTACACGAGAGAATGAGTTGAAATAAGTCTTTTTTGTGTTTATACTAAAAGTCAACATATTTTTTTATGAGATACTTCGTATGGTTTAGTATTCTGGTCAACATATTGAAGAACGTAGACATTCAGCACACGCAAAAACCTTGACGGAAACATTAATTTTTTACGCTTTTGCAATGATGTGAATGATAATTGGTTTGAGAGCAGTGTTGTGCTTTCCGTAAACAACAGATTTGAACCCTCTCTATTGTTTGTGTCTGAGTGTACATACTCTCTCCCGGGTCGATAAGTGTACTAACCCTCTCCCGTGTCGATAAGTGTACTAACCCTCTCCCGTGTCGATAAGTGTACTAACCCTCTCCCGTGTCGATAAGTGTACTAACCCTCACCCGTGTCGATAAGTGTACTAACCCTCTCCGGTGTCGATAAGTGTACTAACCCTCACCCGTGTCGATAAGTGTACTAACCCTCACCCGTGTCGATAAGTATACTAACCTTCTCCCGTGTCGATAAGTGTACTAACCCTCTCCGGTGTCGATAAGTGTACTAACCCTCACCCGTGTCGATAAGTGTACTAACCCTCTCCCGTGTCGATAAGTGTACTAACCCTCACCCGTGTCGATAAGTGTACTAACCCTCTCCCGTGTCGATAAGTGTACTAACCCTCTCCCGTGTCGATAAGTGTACTAACCCTCTCCCGTGTCGATAAGTGTACTAACCCTCTCCGGTGTCGATAAGTGTACTAACCCTCACCCGTGTCGATAAGTGTACTAATCCTCTCCCGTGTCGATAAGTGTACTAATCCTCTCCCGTGTCGATAAGTGTACTAATCCTCTCCCGTGTCGATGAGTGTACTAACCCTCTCCCGTGTCGATAAGTGTACTAACCCTCTCCCGTGTCGATAAGTGTACTAACCCTCTCTCGTGTCGATGAGTGTACTAACCCTCTCCCGTGTCGATAAGTGTACTAACCCTCTCCCGTGTCGATAAGTGTACTAACCCTCACCCGTGTCGATAAGTGTACTAACCCCCTCCCGTGTCGATAAGTGTACTAATCCTCTCCCGTGTCGATAAGTGTACTAACCCTCTCCCGTGTCGATAAGTGTACTAACCCTCTCCCGTGTCGATAAGTGTACTAACCCTCTCCCGTGTCGATAAGTGTACTAACCCTCACCCGTGTCGATAAGTGTACTAACCCTCTCCCGTGTCGATAAGTGTACTTATCCTCTCCCGTGTCGATAAGTGTACTAACCCTCACCCGTGTCGATAAGTGTACTAACCCTCACCCGTGTCGATAAGTGTACTAACCCTCACCCGTGTCGATAAGTGTACTAACCCTCTCGCGTGTCGATAAGTGTACCAACCCTCTCCCGTGTCGATAAGTGTACTAATCCTCTCCCGTGTCGATAAGTGTACTAACCCTCACCCGTGTCGATAAGTGTACTAACCCTCACCCGTGTCGATAAGTGTACTAACCCTCACCCGTGTCGATAAGTGTACTAACCCTCTCGCGTGTCGATAAGTGTACCAACCCTCTCCCGTGTCGATAAGTGTACTAACCCTCACCCGTGTCGATAAGTGTACTAACCCTCACCCGTGTCGATAAGTGTACTAACCCTCACCCGTGTCGATAAGTGTACCAACCCTCTCCCGTGTCGATAAGTGTACTAACCCTCACCCGTGTCGATAAGTGTACTAACCCTCACCCGTGTCGATAAGTGTACTAACCCTCACCCGTGTCGATAAGTGTACTAACCCTCACCCGTGTCGATAAGTGTACTAACCCTCACCCGTGTCGATAAGTGTACTAACCCTCTCGCGTGTCGATAAGTGTACTAACCCTCTCCCGTGTCGATAAGTGTACTAACCCTCTCCCGTGTCGATAAGTGTACTAATCCTCTCTCGTGTCGATAAGTGTACTAACCCTCACCCGTGTCGATAAGTGTACTAACCCTCACCCGTGTCGATAAGTGTACTAACCCCCTCCTGTGTCGATAAGTGTACTAATCCTCTCCCGTGTCGATAAGTGTACTAACCCTCTCCCGTGTCGATAAGTGTACTAACCCTCACCCGTGTCGATAAGTGTACTAACCCTCTCCCGTGTCGATAAGTGTACCAACCCTCTCCCGTGTCGATAAGTGTACTAACCCTCTCCCGTGTCGATAAGTGTACTAACCCTCTCCCGTGTCGATAAGTGTACTAACCTCACCCGTGTCGATAAGTGTACTAACCCCTCTCCCGTGTCGATAAGTGTACTAACCCTCTCCCGTGTCGATAAGTGTACTAACCCTCACCCGTGTCGATAAGTATACTAACCCTCTCCGGTGTCGATAAGTGTACTAACCCTCACCCGTGTCGATAAGTATACTAACCCTCACCCGTGTCGATAAGTGTACTAACCCTCACCCGTGTCGATAAGTATACTAACCCTCACCCGTGTCGATAAGTGTACTAACCCTCTCCGGTGTCGATAAGTGTACTAACCCTCTCCCGTGTCGATAAGTGTACTAACCCTCTCCGGTGTCGATAAGTGTACTAACCCTCTCCCGTGTCGATAAGTGTACTAACCCTCTCCCGTGTCGGTAAGTGTACTAACCCTCTCCCGTGTCGATAAGTGTACTAGCCCTCTCCCGTGTCGGTACGTGTACTAACCCTCTCCCGTGTCGGTAAGTGTACTAACCCTCTCCCGTGTCAGTAAGTGTACAAATCCTCTCCAGTGAACTTGATCGACGGGATACACTGTTGTAATCTGGGCTGCAAGACGTCAGTAAGCGGTCAGTGGCACAACCCATCTTTCCCAAAGCGAAACATTGTGATTCAGTGACAGTGGGGGAAACGTCATATATTATGGTTTCTGTTCATACGCTTATAAATTATTTTTGTTTGTATTCCCTAAAAAGATATGCAAGTCTCCGGTTCATCCATTTCGAAGCACTTCTGTTCGGCCTTGGTTTTTCTAGAGGGAAATGCGGCAGTGTAACGTCGTATACTAAAGGGTTTCCTGGGTAACACAAGGCGAAACGTCGTGAAAACAGACTCGTTCTATTTCATGCTATTTGAATAATCATTTGTCGGCTAATGCCGTAGTAATGCTATAGTAGTAGTACTAGTTGTAATGGCAGTAGTTGTAGTAGTACTAGTTGTAATGGCAGTAGTTGTAGTAGTAATAGTAGTACTAGTTGTAATGGCAGTAGTTGTAGTAGTACTAGTTGTAATGGCAGTAGTTGTAGTAGTAATAGTAGTACTAGTTGTAATGGCAGTAGTTGTAGCAGTACTAGTTGTAATGGCAGTAGTTGTAGTAGTACTAGTTGTAATGGCAGTAGTTGTAGTAGTAATAGTAGTACTAGTTGTAATGGCAGTAGTTGTAGTAGTACTAGTTGTAATGGCAGTAGT